GTCGAACTTGTTGCCATGGAAATGCCAAAATGCTTTATTAAGAATTCCAAAACTACCAAAAGGCACCAGTACACCACCAGACCAATCTATGTGCCAAGTTTGGTGAAGAAATAGTGAACGGTTTAGAGTTCAGCTCGGAAAAGTGTACTACCACCAATTTCAGGCTAAGTCAAAACTTGTTGCCATGGAAATGCCAAAAATGCTTTATTCAGAATTCCAAAACTACCAAAAGGCACCAGTACACCACCAGACCAATCTATGTGCCAAGTTTGGTGAAGAAATAGTGAACGGTTTTAGAGTTCAGCTCCGGAAAAGAGCACTACCACCAATTTCAGGCTAAGTCGAACTTGTTGCCATGGAAACGCCAAAAATGTTTTATTCAGAATTCCAAAACTACCAAAAGGCACCAGTACTCCACCAGATCTATCTATGTGCCAAGTTTGGTGAAGAAATAGTGAACGGTTTTAGAGTTCTGCTCCGGAAAGAGCACTACCACTAATTTCAACATAAGTCGAACTTGTTGCCATGGAAATGCCAAAAATGCTTTATTCAGAAATCCAAAACTACCAAAAGGCACCAGTACACCACTAGATCTATGTATGTGCCAAGTTTGGTGATGAAATAGTGAACGGTTTTAGAGTTCAGCTCGAGAAAAGAGCACTACCACCAATTTCAGGGTAAGTCGAACTTGTTGCCATGGAAACGCCAAAAATGTTTTATTCAGAATTCCAAAACTACCAAAAGGCACCAGTACACCACTAGATCTATGTATGTGCCAAGTTTGGTGAAGAAATAGTGAACGGTATTAGAGTTCTGCTCGAAAAGAGCACTACCACTAATTTCATTCTAAGTTGAACTTGTTGCCATGGAAATGCCAAAAATGCTTTATTAAGAATTCCAAAACTACCAAAAGGCACCAGTACACCACCAGACCAATCTATGTGCCAAGTTTGGTGAAGAAATAGTGAACGGTTTTAGAGTTCTGCTCGGAAAAGAGCACTACCACTAATTTCAACATAAGTCGAACTTGTTGCCATGGAAATGCCAAAAATGCTTTATTCAGAATCCAAAACTACCAAAAGGCACCAGTACACCACCAGACCAATCTATGTGCCAAGTTTGGTGATGAAATAGTGAACGGTTTTAGAGTTCAGCTCCGAAAAGAGCACTACCACCAATTTCAGGGTAAGTTGAACTTGTTGCCATGGAAACGCCAAAAATGCTTTATTAAGAATTCCAAAACTACCAAAAGGCCCCAGTTCACCACCAGACCAATCTATGTGCCAAGTTTGGTGAAGAAATAGTGAACGGTTTTAGAGTTCTGCTCGGAAAAGAGCACTACCACCAATTTCAGGCTAAGTCGAACTTGTTGCCATGGAAACGCCAAAAATGTTTTATTCAGAATTCCAAAACTACCAAAAGGCACCAGTACACCACCAGATCTATCTATGTGCCAAGTTTGGTGAAGAAATAGTGAACAGTTTAGATTTCAGCTCCAGAAAAGTGTACTACCACCAATTTCAGGCTAAGTCAAACATATTGCAATGGAAATGCCAAAAATATATTATTCAGAATTCCAAAACTACCAAAAGGCACCAGTACACCACCAGATCTATGTATGTGCCAAGTTTGGTGAAGAAATAGTGAACGGTATTAGAGTTCTGCTCTGAAAAGAGCACTACCACTAATTTCATTCTAAGTCGAACTTGTTGCCATGGAAATGCCAAAAATGCTTTATTAAGAATTCCAAACTACCAAAAGGCACCAGTACACCACCAGACCAATCTATGTGCCAAGTTTGGTGAAGAAATAGTGAACGGTTTTAGAGTTCAGCTCCGAAAAGTGTACTACCACCAATTTCAGGCTAAGTCAAAACTTGTTGCCATGGAAATGCCAAAATGCTTTATTCAGAATTCCAAAACTACCAAAAGGCACCAGTACACCACCAGACCAATCTATGTGCCAAGTTTGGTGAAGAAATAGTGAACGGTTTTAGAGTTCAGCTCCGAAAAAGTGTACTACCACCAATTTCAGGCTAAGTCAAAACTTGTTGCCATGGAAATGCAGAAAATGCTTTATTCAGAAATCCAAAACTACCAAAAGGCACCAGTACACCACCAGACCAATCTATGTGCCAAGTTTGGTGAAGAAATAGTGAACGGTTTAGAGTTCAGCTCCGGAAAAGTGTACTACCACCAATTTCAGGCTAAGTCGAACTTGTTGCCATGGAAACGCCAAAAATGTTTTATTCAGAATTCCAAAACTACCAAAAGGCACCAGTACACCACCAGATCTATCTATGTGCCAAGTTTGGTGAAGAAATAGTGAACGGTTTTAGAGTTCTGCTCGAAAAGAGCACTACCACTAATTTCAACATAAGTCGAACTTGTTGCCATGGAAATGCCAAAAATGCTTTATTCAGAAATCCAAAACTACCAAAAGGCACCAGTACACCACCAGATCTATCTATGTGCCAAGTTTGGTGAAGAAATAGTGAACGGTTTTAGAGTTCAGCTCGGAAAAGAGCACTACCACCAATTTCAGGCTAAGTCGAACTTGTTGCCATGGAAACGCCAAAAATGCTTTATTCAGAATTCCAAAACTACCAAAAGGCACCAGTACACCACACTAGATCTATGTATGTGCCAAGTTTGGTGAAGAAATAGTGAACGGTTTTAGAGTTCTGCTCGGAAAAGAGCACTACCACTAATTTCATTCTAAGTTGAACTTGTTGCCATGGAAATGCCAAAAATGCTTTTATTCAGAATTCCAAAACTACCAAAAGGCACCAGTACACCACCAGACCAATCTATGTGCCAAGTTTGGTGAAGAAATAGTGAACGGTTTTAGAGTTCTGCTCTGAAAAGAGCACTACCACTAATTTCAACATAAGTCGAACTTGTTGCCATGGAAATGCCAAAATGCTTTATTCAGGAATCCAAAACTACCAAAAGGCACCAGTACACCACCAGACCAATCTATGTGCCAAGTTTGGTGATGAAATAGTGAACGGTTTTAGAGTTCAGCTCCGAAAAGAGCACTACCACCAATTTCAGGGTAAGTTGAACTTGTTGCCACGGAAACGCCAAAAAATGCTTTATTCAGAATTCCAAAACTACCAAAGGCCCCAGTTCACCACCAGACCAATCTATGTGCCAAGTTTGGTGAAGAAATAGTGAACGGTTTTAGAGTTCTGCTCGAAAAGAGCACTACCACCAATTTCAGGCTAAGTCGAACTTGTTGCCATGGAAACGCCAAAATGTTTTATTCAGAATTCCAAAACTACCAAAAGGCACCAGTACTCCGCCAGATCTATCTATGTGCCAAGTTTGGTGAAGAAATAGTGAACAGTTTAGATTTCAGCTCCAGAAAAGTGTACTACCACCAATTTCAGGCTAAGTCAAACATATTGCAATGGAAATGCCAAAAATATATTATTCAGAATTCCAAAACTACCAAAAGGCACCAGTACACCACCAGATCTATCTATGTGCCAAGTTTGGTGAAGAAATAGTGAACGGTATTAGAGTTCTGCTCCGGAAAAGAGCACTACCACTAATTTCATTCTAAGTCGAACTTGTTGCCATGGAAATGCCAAAAATGCTTTATTAAGAATTCCAAAACTACCAAAAGGCACCAGTACACCACCAGACCAATCTATGTGCCAAGTTTGGTGAAGAAATAGTGAACGGTTTTAGAGTTCAGCTCCGGAAAAGTGTACTACCACCAATTTCAGGCTAAGTCAAAACTTGTTGCCATGGAAATGCCAAAAATGCTTTATTCAGAATTCCAAAACTACCAAAAGGCACCAGTACACCACCAGACCAATCTATGTGCCAAGTTTGGTGAAGAAATAGTGAACGGTTTAGAGTTCAGCTCCGGAAAAGTGTACTACCACCAATTTCAGGCTAAGTCAAAACTTGTTGCCATGGAAATGCAGAAAAATGCTTTATTCAGAATTCCAAAACTACCAAAAGGCACCAGTACACCACCAGACCAATCTATGTGCCAAGTTTGGTGAAGAAATAGTGAACGGTTTAGAGTTCAGCTCCGGAAAAGTGTACTACCACCAATTTCAGGCTAAGTCAAATCTTGTTGCCACGGAAACGCCAAAAATATATTATTCAGAACTCCAAAACTACCAAAAGGCACCAGTACACCACCAGATCTATGTATGTGCCAAGTTTGGTGAAGAAATAGTGAACGGTTTTAGAGTTCTGCTCCGGAAAAGAGCACTACCACTAATTTCAACATAAGTCGAACTTGTTGCCATGGAAATGCCAAAAATGCTTTATTCAGAATTCCAAAACTACCAAAAGGCACCAGTACACCACCAGACCAATCTATGTGCCAAGTTTGGTGAAGAAATAGTGAACGGTTTAGAGTTCAGCTCCGGAAAAGTGTACTACCACCAATTTCAGGCTAAGTCAAAACTTGTTGCCATGGAAATGCAGAAAAATGCTTTATTCAGAAATCCAAAACTACCAAAAGGCACCAGTACACCACCAGACCAATCTATGTGCCAAGTTTGGTGAAGAAATAGTGAACGGTTTAGAGTTCAGCTCCGGAAAAGTGTACTACCACCAATTTCAGGCTAAGTCAAATCTTGTTGCCACGGAAATGCCAAAAATATTTTATTCAGAATTCCAAAACTACCAAAAGGCACCAGTACACCACCAGATCTATGTATGTACCAAGCCTATTCGTCTCCCGTCGCCGCCATCTTTGACGATTTGTATGCCGTTTCGGGATGCTATGACTGCCGTGTTGGGATGCTATGAATGCCGTTTTGTACGCTCGGCGACCGCTCTTGTAGCTGATACGCGAGTTTTGTTTCCATTTCAAACAATTTGTCTTCCATTACAGATGTATTGTTTCGGTTTTAGAGGATATTGTTGCAGTTTTGGTGTTTTTTTGTTCTGTTTTGGTGTATATGAGATCAGTTTTGATGATTTGTTCACCGTTTGTATGGTAGGCCTGAAAAATATTTGTGAGAAAAGTTGAAAACTGTTGTGAACATTTTGTCAAGTGGAATAGTATGTCATGTGTTTCATTACTATCATTTATTTCTGTACTGTACTGTTTACTACAGATCCAACATTGTATTGTAAATATTATCCCCGTTTACAGCCGTGCGTTTAAGTTCAGCCTTTTCTGCGTGGACAACTTGCTATCTTTTGTATGGTGTCAGCTTACAGGAATGTTCCCAGATACTTTATCAGGTCAGAGCAGGAACCAGGGCATTCAAAATCGGACTCTGTACACAGCAGGCGGGAAGTTCCATCACATTGCTGGATGTAGAAGACGGTACATTTTACTCTAGTGACAAGACGACAGTTTTCTAAAAGGAGGTATGTATATTCACATTATTGTTCTTCAGTCAAATTCTATATCTTGCCTTGTGAACGTTCATCCTTTGTTTGTAACTGTACGTATTCCTATGATGTTTTCTCAATATATGTGATAGACATTACTTGTGGCATACAATCTTTGTGACGTAGTGTTAGAATGAGTGTTTACTACATGAGCATCAATGTTCACAAGATCAAAATCAATACTACAAGCAAAATGAGATAGCCTGTTTATATATGTTTGCAGAGTGGTAAATTAATAAATGCACATTCATATCCAAACTATGTCACAGTGTATCTGTGTTTGCAAATAATGCAATGTAGAGTGCATGGTGATATCAATTAAATTACAAAGAAACATCGACTATTAACATAACTATATATAATATTACCATTTATTAAATGACCAAAGTATAGATATGTGTTCAAATATAGGAATTTTCTCTGTTTCTTCTGTCCCGTATCCAATCTGCCGACACAGATTTGATCACGTAGACACTCTTGCTTATCAGCGATGTACAGGAAATCGGGGGATAATATTACATTTGAGTCCGTGACTCCAGCTCGTTATTTTATAGCAAACAATATGTCACTTCCCTAACAACCCGACCATGATTCCTCACAACAAATGTCAGCCCCCTCATAAGTAAATGTAGTATGCGACTTTTATACAAGAGATGAAGATGTGTCATGAAGAAATATTTTAAAATAAATGTTCATCCTGCCATTAAAATGCAACTTATCATTTATAACTTGGGCCAAATGTAAGAAATACACAATATTCAGTTCCGTAAAACTATTGTGAGTAACAAGTTCCTTTTGTAAATGATGCCCGTTATTTTGGGGAAAGTATCATACAATATAATCAGATGAAATCACTTGCACAATTTGACAAATTGTATTAATTTTGTTGGTAATAAATTCCTATTGTATATGATTACTGGTCTACTGAGGTTGATTGATGTGTATTTATTTTGTAAGTTTTTGATAAATACTGGTGGGAATTTGTACTCTTCAACATAGTTTCATGACACAGAAACATTATTGTCATTTAGCGTTGTTTCGCTAAATGGGTTTATGGGCAGCATTTACAGTTCAGCACATAACTTTAAACCCTAGTACTTGCCTTGGCTTATAGTATCCATCCAGCGTCGCAGTACAGGAGGCGGTGTATTATTTCAGCATTTATTAATAGCAGCAGTAGGGCATTTAGAAGTAAATTGGTAAACATGTTCATAGCCAGTATTTACAATACTTGTGCACAACTTTAAACCCTAGCTTTCGCTTATAGGAACTAACCAGCACAGCAACGCACATGGCAGTGTTGTTCTTCCGCATCCCATAATAGCAGTTACGTCACTTCCAGAGTGACGTCACATCTGCAAGCATACGTCATATCCGTCCTTTCTATCCTTCATGCTCTCCGGTCAAGTCGTACATTTTGCCTCTGCTAAATAATTCTCTCTAATCGCGTCGGGCTGTCAACTTAATTCGGAATTCTTTATCAAATACTAGTAATTGCGTTTGGCTTCCATTTGGCTTCTTTTTTGTCCTCTTTTCATTCAACTTTTTTGACAAGTTTTAGTTGTAGATCACCACGTGTTATCACCATGCCTCCAAAGCGCAAGGCAGTACTCAACCACTCCGCCGTGAAGGGACGTGCTAGAGCTGCGAAACGACAGGCAACGGGGGTACGTGCATCTGGAGCACTGCCCCCGAGGCCTGTCAGGCCCAACAACCGGAGGCATCCCCTGCGGCGACCACCACCACACCTCCGCTAGAGTCGACCCCGCTCCGTCAGTCAACGCACAAGGTATGTCTCCCTTTGATCATGTGAACATATTGCCCGAATTATTGATTCCTCGTGGCGATCAGGCACCAGTTGGTATACAGCCAGCTCAAGTAGCAGCTCCCTCCACACCTCCGACGGGGTGTTTCAGCCAACCCCTCACAAACAACATATTCGTGAATGCAGACATGCTGCCACATCAGCAGCTTAGCTTTAGGGCTGAGACCATTGGTTTCCACCTAAAGCAGGCGGTAAGGGAAAAAATACACCGGGGGGAGTTTGTTGATATGAAATCCCTCTTACCAGCAGAAAACCAATCAGCTCAGGAGTGTCAGAATTTTACGATGGAGCTTGACCCTTCAGGCCAGGTAACATTTAGACCCAGGCAGCAGTCCACTCGTCAACTAAGCATTGGGTCTTGGACGTCAGCCTTTTTGACTTACATCAGTGTAGTCATTGAGCGTCAAACTGACGTAAATTACATACAGCAAATGTTGTCATACATGGAGAGAATCCGTGGTGCTGTCGCTAAGTTCGGCGGTGACTGCTGGTCCCAATATGACACACAGTTTCGGCAGAAAATGGAGAAGAAACCCATCACGCTCGTGGGGCACAATTGATGGACAACTGTGGCTGCAGCTGATGCTTCCTAGCAATAAACAGCAGACACACACACCTTCTGCCAGATACCCCAGCTACCCGCAACAGCGCACGCCTATTGAGGTTTGTAGGAACTTCACTCGTGACATGTGTGATAGGGGACAGTCATGTCGTTATGCACACAAATGCTTGGCATGCAACATAGGCGGCCATGGGGCATCGTCCTGTTTTCGTGCCAAAAAGCACACCACAGTCCCCGCACAAACCCCTAAGCGACCTACTGCCCTGCCAGCCAGGAATGCTTCGCATGGCCCCATCTCCAGTTAATGTTGTTTACTTGCGTCAGTGGCTGGAGCACTATCATTCAATCAACCCATTAGCAGCTGAGTTACTGGAACAGGGTTTTAGTCAGGGCTTTAGTTTAAAATATTCAGGGCCAAGGGTTGCTCGGGATGCGGTCAACCTTAAATCTGCGATCGAGCAGCCACTACTGGTGGAGCAGAAACTATGTAAAGAAATTCAGTTGGGTCGCATAGCGGGCCCATTCTTACACAGACCAGTTGATTCCCTGATAGTTTCCCCAATTGGCTTGGTGCCTAAGAAAGCGGATTCATCTGTCCAGGGTGAGGCTGCCTTCCGCCTCATCCATCACTTGTCATATCCTGTAGGTTCATCGGTGAACGACTATATACCGCAGGAAGCATGCACAGTGCAGTACACCACCTTTGATCAGGCGGTAGCTATGATCCAAAATCTCGGCAGTGGGGCAACACCACCTTTGATCAGGCGGTAGCTATGATCCAAAATCTCGGCAGTGGGGCATACATGTCCAAATTTCATATCAAATCAGCCTTTCGTCTCCTGCCGGTTGCACCGTCGGACTCTCAGCTGCTCGGTATGAAGTTTCAGGGAAAATTTTTCATTGATAAATGTCTCCCCTTCGGCAGTTCCATTTCTTGTGCTCTATTCGAGTCATTTAGCACTTTCATCGAATGGGCCATTAAGGCCGAAACGTGCAGCCAGGATATAGCTCATTATCTGGATGATTTTATCCTGGCTGCGGCAGATTTGAACACCTGCTCGCACATACTCCAGACTTCCCTTCAATTCGCCAATCGCCTGGGTGTGCCAATTGCACACCAAAAAAAAGTGCAACCCACAACTTGTCTTACATTCCTTGGTCTCACCATAGACACGGTGAGGGGGAAAATTAGGTTACCACAGGACAAGATAGCGCAACTGACTCATCAGTTATCTCAGCTGGTAGCGTCTCCATCCAAGAAGGTCACTCTGCATTCCCTGCAATCAATAGTAGGTAAGCTGAATTTTGTATGCACGGCAATTCCCATGGGCTGTCCTTTCCTGCGGCGTCTAAAAGATGCTCAAAAAGGGGCAAGCAAACCGCATCACAGAATACGCGTATCAGCGGGCATGCGACAGGACCTCGCACTATGGCTTCAGTTCCTTGCCGAGCATAACGGCACAACCTTATTCTTGGAACAAGGATGGGTTTCTACCCCATTTCTACAACTTTACACAGATGCAGCAGGAAGCCAGGGTTGTGGTGCATACTTCCAAGGCCATTCGGCCAATGCCAAGTGGCCAGACCTATGGCTACAACAAGGATGGGTGAAAGACTTGACATTCTTGGAGCTTTTCCCGATAGTCATGGCGTTGCGGATCTGGGGCAGCAGTTTGGCCAACAAAAGAGTGCTAATGTTTTGCGACAACCAGGCGGTGGTGAGTATTATCAATAGGCACACAGCAAAAGGGGAAAGGGTCGTGAAACTGCTCAGGCATATGGTCCTGATTTGCTTGCGAAACAACATCCACTTCAAGGCACGTTATATACCCTCACAGGATAACATAATAGCAGACGCTCTTTCGAGATTTCAGTGGTCATGGTTCCGAGCTGCAGCCCCCTCAGGCGGATCAACAGGCCTCCGGAATCCCAGCTGACATCTGGCTCATCTAACAGCAGAAGTAAGCAGTCTGGTAGCCAACTCAATGGCGGCAAACACCTGGAGGGCATATGAGTCGGCAGTGCAGTCACTGCGGGGTTTTCGGGCAGTGTACTCCCTGCCGGACCTATGGCCAGTCCCCTTAGTTCATATGCTTCATTTTATAGCCTATCTCTCGTTATCAGGTAGGTCACCGAGCACGGCCCGCTCCTACGTTTCAGCCTTGTCATCCATCCATAAGCTCCACTCCTTGCAGTGCATAACTAATCATTTTCTAGTGCAGAAATTGCAGTGATGTCCAGGTTGTCGGGGTATCCGGACAGGAGACAGCCTATTACAGTGGATCTGTTGACGTGCATTCTGCAACTCCTTCCCACGGTTTGTAGGTCTTCATATGAAGCCACGCTGTTTGCTGCAGCATATCTACTGACATTTTTCGTTTTTTTCAGGGTAAGCGAGGTAGCGGCAGGTTCGAGTAACGACTCATCACAGTGCGCAGTGTTGCTAACGGATGTATCTTTTGCTAGCAATCAATCCTACCTGGAGGTGGTACTACGGGCGTCCAAAACGGACCAACAAGGCTGGGGCACACGCATTGCCATCCAGGCAGTTCCGGTATCTATGCTATGCCCTGTCAAAGCCCTCACACGCTTTTTATCAGTGCGTCCACGAGCGGACGGGTACTTATTTGTCCACACAAACTCCGCCCCATTAACAAGATTTCAGTTTCAGGCAGTGCTGAAAAGGACTCTTCAAGCAGCAAAGAAACCCATTAATGTTAATCTGTATTCGTCGCATTTGTTTCGCATAGGGGCAGCAACCACGGCAGCATTGCAAGGCATACAGTCAGAGCAAATACAGGAATTTGGCTGTTGGAGATTTAACTCATACCAGTCATATATTTGCATTCCTCGCCTGAGCGCACAAAGATAATTTGTGCATTGATGGGTTGCAGGGCCAGCTTGGGTGATCGGCTCTAGCTACATGGCGAGGCTGCAGAAACATCTGGGTCCGCAACGGAGCAACCTTGGCCTCGCCGGGGGTGTGATCTGGTCGGCAAAGGGGGGTCTCAAGTGAGCCGGCCTCAGAGGCAGGTTTGAGAGTCTCATTAGCGAGAGGGGCCCATGCAGGTCATTCATTGTCATCCATCTCGGGTGTGGGGTTCCCTCCAAGACTCTTTTTGACGTGATGTACGAGGACCTACTCTACATCCGTCTGCGCTGCCCAGCTGCCACTATAGTCTGGTTGCCGATGCTGCCTCGGGTCGAGTGGCTCGGAGCCAACAACGTCCGTGCCCTCGATCTGAAGCGGAAGAAGCTGAATCGGCGGCTGAGGAATGTAGTACAGGGGCAGCTGGGCGGCCGAGTTGTCTCATTCAACCCAGACCCCTACCACTACCTAGATGGGGTCCACCTCACCAATGCGGGCATGTCAGCTCAGCACCGGGCTGTGCTAGCAGCACTTAGAGGCTGAAGCCTGCGCAAAGTGTTTGGGTCTGTTGCCATGGTGCCGACGGGACTAAGCAGCAGCGCTGCTACAACTAGGGATACTTGGCATCTGCTTTCACAGCGGCAGCCCAAACCTTCCTGCCTGCTGGCTTCCGCGTGAGGAAGTACCAAAGTTTCCCATGCTTTACCCGTCTGCTTTGCCACGGCGGAGGGCCGCAATTAGCTATCATACGCATTCGGTCCCGTCGGCGCCATCCACACCGCACTCTTTGTCATCCACACATCTGTCTTGTTTAGTCTGTTCACTGGATTCCTTTATTCTTATCTATTTCCGACCATATCATAATATCAATTGGAAGGTCTGCATATAAGTAGCAGTAATTTAGCATCATCAAGAGTAAAGTGACAGTAAATATTTATAGAATTTCTTTGTGTTTATTTCAGAAGCCAACACAGATGCAAGAAAAGCCTGATGGCAAAGATGATTGATTATCTTCCATATGTATTGATGAAATGAAGTATTCTTTAAAACATATCATTGGTTTGTTTTCATTTTCACTAATAATAACGGATGACATGAGTAACAAATTTACCTACGTGTATGTATTTTATTTGGACGGGAGTCAAAACACTTGGTGTTGGTAAACTAGCCTTGCAACGATATCAGAAGATTATATCGTTTCTGATATCTCTACAATCGCAAAAAGGTTCAACCCAAATGTTTCTGAAACGTTTTAAAAAGCCCATGGAAAAACATTTTCAAAATGTTTTTAGAAGGTTTCTAATGTTTCTCGCCAACGTTTCGTCAAAACGTTTTTAAAACGTAAAAAAACCTCCGAAAAATTAGGTTTTAAAAACGTTTTTTGGAACGTTTTTAAAACCATACAGAAACGTTTCAAAACGTTTCTGTGTTAGCTGGGTTACGCTTGCTTAACGATAATGGTTCTCAAACAGCCTACGATCAAACTTGATTTCAACGTGCAGGATATGGGCTTAGGGATGGCGATGGCCACCAAGGACATTCTCATGAAACAAGGAATTATACCGGAAAATATTTCTCAGTAATATTACAATATTTTAAAAAAGAAATGGCTACGATCGCTATGATGGTCGGTGATGCATTAGTCAACGCCCTCGCAGTTTCCGGCAGCAATTATCTCTTCTCCAAATTATGAACGTCGAACGCGACCGAAGTGGAAGCGGAACGTAAACTTCACGAACGTCGAAGATGCCATGCGAGAATACTACCTGCTCACCGGCAAACGACTTGAACCTCTTGGCGACGAACCCCCTACCCTCTCGCAGTTTTACACGCCTTCCCCGAAACAGAAAGACTGGGAACTGATTTTCATGGCGCTGGGTCTAGCGACTACCGAGTTGATCGCCAAACAATTAGACTAAAAATATATTTATGTGTATATACATAAAGATGGGAAGACGCACACCGTATAACTGCAAATACAGGCTACTAGGAAAAACCGAAACCTGTGGCAAAAAATGCACCACCAAATATTGCGGCATACACATGATGTCCATATGAAAGGGTTTCGTGAATTACACGTGGGAACTGTGCGGCGTGGGCGTGAAATGCCATTATCGTCATTGCTAAGCCCACAGAGCTGACATGGTACGAGGCCATCTCATCTACTTGACAAAAAGAGACTACCTCAACAAACGCAACCGACTGCTCAGAATACAAATCTAACGTGCATGTTGAAAGTTTCACATTTAACAGCGAGACCACACTAACAAACTACTACAGATTTTGACTCGCAGCCGAACATAGCGATGAAAATCCTATTAGAGATTTGACTTCACCCCTGACTATAGCGAACAACCTATTAGAGATTTGATTTTGCATCTGACTATAGCGAACAACCTATTAGAGATTTGATTTCGAATCTGAATATAATTATGTTTTCATTTAGAAAAAGGTTATCAGACATTGATATAGCAACGATGATTACTGTTCGAGAACTAAAAAGGATTGCCAAAAACGTGGAGTGAACGGTTACTCCCGTTTGAGGAAATCTCAGCTGTTGGAATTGCTCAACATCGTCGACGAACCCACGGTGAAACAACTCAAACTCCGAGCAAAAGAACATGGGCTCAGAGGCTATTCACGCATGAGGAAAGCCGAGCTCCTTGAACTACTGGAGGAACACAAACCCGTCGAACTACGGTTCGTGTGGACGAAGCACGCCGTAGATAAGTATCTGAGAGGCTGGAGATGGACGGCGACAAAAACATGGACGTCTACGACATCAAACCCATGAAGGCCGACAAAGTGGACGAGGAACTGAACAATCTGGGAAGCAAGAAATTGCGACTCAACCCGAATCCGTCGACACGTCCATCGACACCTCGTTTTAAAAAATACGAGTATCCCTGGAACGCTTTACGAACATGGGCTCGGGCTGGGTCGTTGACACGATCGACATGGTCTACCTGGACATAGCGAACTAAGTGCCGTTCAAAGGAGGGTCGTACCTGGACCTGCCACCGTACTACAAGAAAAAACAAGCCATGGTCAACGTCAAAAACAAAGGCGACAACTTTCCAGCTATCCCTCCATCGAGGAATACGCCCTCGACTTTATGGGGATACTACTCATCTCACAAATCGCTCGAGTGGAAAAACAAAACCATCTGGCTATTGTCGTCTTCGGACACGAAGGGAACTATTGTGCACAGGATAAGCCCTAGATAAAACCGCGCGAAGGACCAATTTATTTCTGATTGAAAAAAAGGACAAGTATCACTACGCAACGATTGAAAGTTTCTGCAGACTGTTTTACGATCAATCGAAGCACGTCAGGAAAAAACACGTTTGTGAACGGTGTCTGCACGGCTATACGCGAGCCGACCTGCAGGAATCACACCGGGAGGATTGCCGAGGGGTGGGACAGACGGCCATCCAAATCGACATGCTCGACGAAAACGACAACGCCTTGAAATTCATCAACCACAAGCATCAAATGTCCGTGCCTTACGTCATCTACACCGACTTCGAAGCCCTCATCAAAAATGTTGACACCGTCGCTCCCAGACAAAAGTTTCACGTACAAAACTCAAGAGCACGAAGCCTGCGTGCTTGGTTACGTGGTTGTTCGATGCGACGGACAAATGAACACTCCCGTGGTCTAATGAGATCCCGACACGGCCTAAACATTTCTCACGTTCTTACCACACGAAGAGATCAAAATCAGGAAAGATTTGTCAGATCCTGCTCTCATGCGCATGACGTCAAAGGATAAACTCGCTCACAAGAACGCTAAGAATTGCCACGTGTGCGACGAACCCCTGTGCGGTCATTCCGTGAGAGACCACCCCCACATCACCGGCAAGTACAGAGGCACCGGTCCCAACGCGTGCAACCTGAAGCTCAAAATCGACCCCAAAACCATCAAAATCCCGGTTATGTTTCACAACCTTCGCGGCTGCGATTCTCACCTGATCATGCAGGCCATCGCGAAGGTCGATGGCAACATAACGTGCATCCCCAACAACATGGAAAAATACATCTCGTTTCGTTAGATGGTCTGAGATTTATCGATAGCGTTCAGTTCCTGCTGTCGTCTCTATACAGTCTGGTGAAGGCCAACAACCCAGACAACTTCAACATCACCAATCGATACACCAATGCCGAGACTCGACCCCTGCTGCTGAGGAAGGGCGTCTACCCCTCGAGGACGATTGGTCCAAGTTTGATGAGACGCGATTACCTCCCATCAACCAATTTTACAGCAACTTGACCGACTCGGCCATCATCCCGGACGATTATGCGCACGTGATTAATGTGTTGGACAAACTGGGCTGCAAGAATTTGGGCGATTACCACGACCTGTACTTGAAAACGGACGTGCTGCTGCTGGCCGACGTGTTCGAGATATTCAGAAAAACGTGCTCGAAACAGTACGGTCTGGACCCCACGTGGTATTTTTCATCCCCTGGTCTCTTTTGGGACGCCTTGTTGAAAAAGAGCAGAGTTAAATTGGCGGGATTTCCATGGCCTCCAAACGATACACCAAAGCCAACAACAAGTACGTTCCCGGTCACGACCCCGGCAAACAGACCAAACACATACTCTATCTCGACGCCAACAGCCTGTAAGGCCTGGCCATGAGTCAGTATCTCCCCACCGGATGATACGAATGGGTCTCTTCACCAGAGATAATCGATGTGAATAGCATTGCGCTGGATTCGAACAAAGGCTACGTGCTCGAAGTGGACTTGGACTATCCCCGCAGGACTACACGAATCACACAACAGCTATCCGCTAGCTCTCGAACGATTGACGGTGAACCCGGACTGGATGTCCGAATATCAACGAAACTTGGGAGACAATAAGCCGGCTAAAGTTGAAAAACTCGTGCTGAACTTGATGAACAAGTCATAACACATCGTTCACTATCGCAGTCTGCAGCTGTACTTGTCGCTGGGAATGAAATTCACAAAAATACACAAGGCGCTCGAGTTCGATCAAAGTCTGTGGATGGAGCCTTACATCCGAATGAACACGGACTTGCGAATGTTGGCCAACGGCGATTTCGAGAAAAACTTCTTCAAGACGATGGAGAATTTGAGAAAACGCGTTAACGTGAAATTAGTCAGATCCAGCGAGGAAGGAAACTCATAGCCAGCCCGGCGTTCAACCAAAGCAATATATTCGACAACGACTTGGCATCGCTGCACATGAACAAAAGCCACATCAAATTCAATCTGCACGTTTACGTGGGGACGAGCATCCTCGACTTATCCAAACACTTGATGTACGATTTCTACTACAACGAGCAGTATGGCGATAGGTGCGAAGTGCTGTACACGGACATGGATTCCCTGCTCATGGAAATTCCTAACGAGGACGTATACGAGGACATTAAGAAATGCATGCATCTGTACGACACCAGCAACTACCCCAAAGATCACCCTATGCACAGCCAAGTCAACAAAAAAGAGCTCGGCAAGATGAAGGATGAATGCGGGGGCACAATCTCCATTGGAGATATCATTTGATCTCACACAAGCAATATTTCCAGTGAAACACAGTTTTGGATGATAAATGATGATCCCTCGAACATTCATTTCATATTCACTCAAAGAAGCAGTGTCAAGTGATCTTCATATTTAAAGTAATGCTTCTGAAAAGGATATCGCATCTGTTGTGTACATGAAATGTGTGGACTCCAATGGGAAAACCGACTTTGGATTCATCATCAGGAAAGCTAAAGTAGCCCATCTCATGGAAACACAGTGCCCACACTAGAGTTATGCACTGCAGTCTTATCAGTAGAATTTTACAAGGTAAGTGATCAATTTGTTATGAATTTCAATGCAGTCAAGTTCTACACTGACAGCAAGGTTTTACTTGGATGCATCTGCAACGAAACGAAGCATTTTACACTTATGTATCCAATCACATTGAGAAAATGAGACGTCGTCTCCAGAACAGTCGGGTTATGTGCATACAGCAACAAGTCAAGGCTAACATTTGGTTGACTGGACCAAATTGTGTGAAGGACTCAAGCTGTGAT